CTCCTTTCTCTGGATGCGACGTAGACGCGAACTACTGGGCCACAGAGCCACGCTCTGTGTGTGTGTGTGTGTGTGTGTGTGTGAGTGTGTGTGAGTGAGTGAGTGATCGGCTGGGATGAGAGGAGATGAGACAGGTGTGTTAAAACCTCCCTGGGTGATGGATGTGAGACCTACCTGGGATAACCTAAGTAGTCTATGCCCCAGTAGCCTCTCTGTCAACTAATGTTACTTCATATTTGGTGCGTAATTGTCGTAGGCCTAAGACACATTAAATGTTATTCCTTATTTTGGGACAATTTTTTTTTGTAATTTAAGCGAAAGTCATAATAAATAAGCAATCGTGTCTAGCCCACGTTTAACTTCTGTTCAGTGCAGAACTGATTATTTTTTAGTGGCCTATCTCCCATACACTGCCCTCTCTCTCAATTACCATTGTTCTGTCCAGATTTTGTTAAATGATTGTCATTTTATAATACTAGAAATGTTAAATTATTAAATAAAGGCTATTTGCATAGGCTAAGTGCTAAGTATGGAAATATTCAGATACACAGTCCTCTTTTTTAAGACCTTGTGATGTGTTTGAAATTAAAGAATGGTGTAGAAAACCTAATAAATGCATAAAATACCAAATTTTGCATAAAAGTTAAAGAAAAACTAATTTGGTTGTGAATGTATACAGTAGTAGGCAGATTAAAGTTCAATCCTCTGTATATCTATATATCTATATATCTCTATATCTATATATCTGTATATCTATATATCTATATATCTATATATCTATATCTCTGTATATCTATATATCTGTATATATATATATCTATATATCTGTATATCTATATATCTGTATATCTATATATCTGTATATCTGTATATCTATATATCTATATATCTGTATCTCTATATATCTGTATATCTATATCTCTGTATATCTCTATATCTATATATCTATATATCTATATATCTGTATATCTATATATCTATATATCTATATATCTATACCTCTGTATATCTACAGTTGAAGTCGGAAGTTTACATACACTTAGGTTGGAGTCATTAAAACTTGTTTTTCAACCACTCCACACATTTCTTGTTAACAAACTATAGTTTTGGTAAGTCGGTTAGGACATCTACTTTGTGCATGACACAAGTAATTTTTCCAACAATTGTTTACAGACAGATTACTTCACTTATAATTCACTGTATCACAATTCCAGTGGGTCAGAAGTTTACATACACTAAGTTGACTGTGCTTTTAAACTTTAAATTCCAGAAAACGATGTCATGGCTTTAGAAGCTTCTGATAGACTAATTGACATCATTTGAGTCAATTGGAGGTGTACCCGTGGATGTATTTCAAAGCCTACCTTCAAACTCAGTGCCTCTTTGCTTGACATCATAGGAAAATCAAAAGAAATCAGCCAAGACCTCAGAATTTTTTTTGTAGACCTCCACAAGTCTGGTTCATCCTTGGGAGCAATTTCCAAACACCTGAAGGTACCACGTTCATCTGTACAAACAATAGTACGCAAGTATAAACACCATGGGACCACGCAGCCGTCGTACCGCTCAGTAAGGAGACGCGTTCTGTCTCCTAGAGATGAACGTACTTTGGTGCGAAAAGTGCAAATCAATCCCAGAACAACAGCAAAGGACCTTGTGAAGATGCTGGAGGAAACAGGTACAAAATTATCTATATCCACAGTAAAACGAGTCCTATATTGACATAATCTGAAAGGCCGCTCAGCAAGGAAGAAGCCATTGCTCCAAAATCGGCATAAAAAAAGCCAGACTACGGTTTGCAACTGCACATTGGGACAAAGATCGTACTTCTTGGAGAAATGTCCTCTGGTCTGATGAAACAAAAATAGAACTGTTTGGCCATAATGACCATCGTTATGTTTAGAGGAAAAAGGGGGGACTTGCAAGCCGAAGAACACCATCCCAACTGTGAAGCACGGGGGTGGCAGCATCATGCTGTGGGGGTGCTTTGCTGCAGGAGGGACTGGTGCACTTCACAAAATAGATGGCATCATGAGGAAGGAAATGTATGTGGATATATTGAAGCAACATCTCAAGACATCAGTCAGGAAGTTAAAGCTTGGTCGCAAATGGGTCTTCCAAATGGACAATGACCCCAAGCATCCTTCCAAAGTTGTGGCAAAATGGCTTAAGGACAACAAAGTCAAGGTATTGGAGTGGCCATCACAAGCCCTGACCTCAATCCTATAGAACATTTGTGGGCAGAACTGAAAAAGCGTGTGCGAGCAAGGAGGCCTACAAACCTGACTCAGTTACACCAGCTCTGTCAGGAGGAATGGGCCAAAATTCACCCAACTTATTGTGGGAAGCTTGTGGAAGGCTACCCGAAACGTTTGACCCAAGTTAAACAAATTAAAGGCAATCCTACCAAATACTAATTGAGTGTATGTAAACTTCTGACCCACTGGGAATGTGATGAAAGAAATCAAAGCTGAAATAAATAATTCTCTCTACTATTATTCTGACATTTCACATTCTTAAAATAAAGTGGTGATCCTAACTGACATAAAACAGGGAATTTTTACCAGGATTAAATGTCAGGAATTGTGAAAAACTGAGTTTAAATGTATTTGGCTAAGGTGTACGTAAACTTCCGACTTCAACTGTATATATCTGTATAACTCTGCCTCTATAGTGTGAAGAAAAGGCCAATACATTTACTTTATTGGAGTCAATAAAAGTCTCTGCTCCTCTAACCAGCTACTGAATCTCTAACTCTCATATTATCTTTTACACTCCAGCTCAGGCCACTGTTTTCTGTCGAGGCGTCCCAGCCAACAGGGGAGGAAGGGAATGATCCATTTCTCTCCAACCTTATCAGCTACACCCCTCCCCCCTAAAACAATGCCACTGTGTGCAGCCCCCCCCCCCCAAACCCCCCCCCCCCCCCCCCCCCCCCCCCACCCCTACCCCCCCATGTCAGAGAGATGCTGGTTTGTTCTGTTGTCTGTCACAGCTGGATCGTCTCTCTTTAACTTTGCCTCCCCCATCCTCTTTCTCTCCTCTTCTCTAACCCCCTCTTTCTCTCCTCCGTCTCCCCCCCCCCCCCCCCCCCCCCCCCCTTTCCCTCTGTTCGTCCTAAACAAGGCGCCCGTTATGTCTGCCACACTATGTATATTGTTGTGGAGGACACAGGACAGAAAGAGAGAGATGGAGAGATGGAGAGAAAGAGGGGGGAGATAGAAAGAGAGAGATGGAGAGATGGAGGGAAAGAGGGGGAGATAGAAAGAGAGAGATGGAGAGATGGAGGGAAAGAGGGGGAGACAGAAAGAGAGAGATGGAGCGAAAGAGGGGGGAGACAGAAAGAGAGAGTTAGAGAGATGGAGGGAAAGAGGGGGGAGATAGAAAGAGAGAGATGGAGGGAAAGATGGAGGGAAAGAGTGGGGAGACAGAAAGAGAGAGATCGAGAGATGGAGCGAAAGAGTGGGGAGACAGAAAGAGAGAGATGGAGAGATGGAGGGAAAGAAGGGGGAGACAGAAAGAGAGAGATGGAGAGATGGAGCGAAAGAGTGGGGAGATAGAAAGAGAGAGATGGAGAGATGGAGTGAAAGAGGGGGGAGACCGTGTAGCTCAGTTGGTAGAGCATGGCATTTGCAACACCAGGGTTGTGGGTTCGTTTCCCACGGGGGACCAGTATGAAAGAAAATGTATGCACTCACTAACTGTAAGTCGCTCTGCATAAGAGTGTGTGCTAAATGACTAAAATGTAAATGTAAAATGAGACAGAGAGAGAGAGATGGAGTGAAAGAGGGGGGAGATAGAAAGACAGAGATGGAGAGATGGAGGGAAAGAAGGGGGAGATAGAAAGAGAGAGATGGAGCGAAAGAGTGGGGAGACAGAAAGAGAGAGATGGAGAGATGGAGCGAAAGAGTGGGGAGACAGAAAGAGAGAGATGGAGAGATGGAGCGAAAGAGGGGGGAGACAGAAAGAGAGAGATGGAGGGACAATAAAACAACTGGCCTTGTTAACGCAGTTCATTTAGCTATTTTGTCATTTCTATATTAGACGACTGTATGTGAAATGGAGAGGGGGTGTAGTGTGTGTGTGTGTGTGTGTGTGTGCGTGCGTGCGTGTATGCGTCCGTGCGCGTGCATCGGTTGTGTGAGTCGGAGAGTGAGAAAGTAGAAAGGAGCTTTGAGTAACAAAAGAGCTTACCAATAAAAACTCAGAAAAGGACTAATTCGAGGTAGAAAGGAGTACATTTATAAATGAGTTGAAGAAAACGTTTGTACTGTAGGCTATATGAGTGAACGCCAGCAGACTCACACATTTCTCGTTCGTAAACCATAGAAATTGAATTAGCTAAGTTCTAATAATTTTAGTAATAACAAAATAACTAAATTGGTTTAGTAATTCTATGGTGTAAATTGTTATAACATTCTTACCCTTTTCTCTCTGGACCAAGTGTGTTTGTTCACTTTTTCCCCCTTATGCCACTGCCACATTCCACAAGATAACCCTAAGTGTGCGTGCGCGCGTGTGTGTGTGTGTGTGTGTGTGTGTGTGTGTAAGTGTGTGTGTGTGTGTGTACGCGTGTTTGTGTGTGCGTGTTTGTGTGCGTTGTGATAGTTACAATGCCCGATTTATTTATTTTAACTTGACAGTACCTTGGGTGTTTTTTCGCCCTGTACTTCCCATTCCAGTCCACTAGATGGAGACATGTAACCACTGGTTATTTAGACAACAACTCCACTGGTGAAGAAGGAGGAGCAACATTCAAGATGGCGGTGAACAGAGCAGGTAGGATGCGTTGCTATAGCCACGGCTGCATTTCTTAGTTGCATGAGTTTACAAACGTAACTATGAATTTGAAATGTATTTCGGATTAATAATTTTATAGTCCCATATTCTGATACATTTGTTCTACTGCCAGCGCCAGATAATGTGTATTTATGCGGTTGTGTGTGAGAAACGTACTGATATTTGCTCACATAATTTCATGATCGTTTGCTTTCTTTTCAGGCAAGTCTGCTGTTGTGGTATCCTTTTAAAATTAAAGTTAGCTAGCAATGGACATAGCAACAGGTAATATAAAGTGTCATGGTGTTTCTTCCCTTGGAATTTAAGATGAATAGGTATTTGAAAACGAATTGAACACACACACGCACACACACACACACACAGACACACACACACACACACACACACACACACACACACACACACACACACACACACACACACACACACACACACACAATACAGAGAATGAAAATCGCCCTTAACCGCCACCTCCAGCTATCTTCTGTTCCTCTCCAGCTCCTGCTCTACCTGTCAGCTCTATACTATGTCTTCTACTTCCTCTCTACATTCTGCATGATCATCTACAAGAGTGAGTCACCTTCTGCTTGCACACTGTGTTGGTGTGTTGGTGTGAGAGAGAGAGTGACTAATTGTCTGTATTCACGACCACACTGTTTTGTTACATCATGTACTCTAGTGAGTGTGGGGACTGTCTGATTCAGTTCAAAACATCTTTATTATCCCTGAAGCCAGGGCAAGTTTTGTGCAGCATAAATACCTAGACAAAGAGACATTGTATGTAGGCCTCTTGCAAAGATGGTCTTAGTCCTGAAACCACATAAATGTGGTCTTGTTCTCCATAGAAAGGGTCTTGGCCTCAAGGTGGCCTGGTCCTAGTCTTGGTCTGGAGCTGGATAGTTCTGGTCTTGACTCCATATCTGGTTTGCTGCCTGTCCTCTAGGTCGTGTGCTGAGCTACCCTGATGACCTCCTAACTCAGGACGTAGGTTTGCTCTTCATTATGGCTGGCCTGGAGCTGCTCCGACTCTACTGTGGTGAGTTGTAGTGGGGGTCTGGTCTGACTACTGTGGTGAGTTGTAGTGGGGATCTGGTCTGACTACTGTGGTGAGTTGTAGTGGGGGTCTGGTCTGACTCTACTGTGGTGAGTTGTAGTGGGGGTCTGACTCTACTGTGGTGAGTTGTAGTGGGGGTCTGGTTTGACTCTACTGTGGTGAGTTGTAGTGGGGGTCTGACTCTACTGTGGTGAGTTGTAGTGGGGGTCTGGTCTGACTCTACTGTGGTGAGTTGTAGTGGGGGTCTAACTCTACTGTGGTGAGTTGTAGTGGGGGTCTGACTCTACTGTGGTGAGTTGTAGTGGGGGTCTGGTCTGACTCGACTGTGGTGAGTTGTAGTGGGGGTCTTGTCTGACTCTACTGTGGTGAGTTGTAGTGGGGGTCTGACTACTGTGGTGAGTTGTAGTGGGGGTCTGGTCTGACTCTACTGTGGTGAGTTGTAGTGGGGGTCTGACTACTGTGGTGAGTTGTAGTGGGGGTCTGGTCCGACTCTACTGTGGTGAGTTGTAGTGGGGGTCTGGTCTGACTACTGTGGTGAGTTGTAGTGGGGATCTGGTCTGACTACTGTGGTGAGTTGTAGTGGGGGTCTGGTCTGACTCTACTGGGGTGAGTTGTAGTGGGGGTCTGACTCTACTGTGGTGAGTTGTAGTGGGGGTCTGGTCTGACTCTACTGTGGTGAGTTGTAGTGGGGGTCTGACTCTACTGTGGTGAGTTGTAGTGGGGGTCTGGTCTGACTCTACTGTGGTGAGTTGTAGTGGGGGTCTGACTCTACTGTGGTGAGTTGTAGTGGGGGTCTGACTCTACTGTGGTGAGTTGTAGTGGGGGTCTGGTCTGACTCTACTGTGGTGAGTTGTAGTGGGGGTCTGGTCTGACTCTACTGTGGTGAGTTGTAGTGGGGGTCTGGTCTGACTACTGTGGTGAGTTGTAGTGGGGGTCTGGTCTGACTCTACTGTGGTGAGTTGTAGTGGGGGTCTGGTCTGACTACTGTGGTGAGTTGTAGTGGGGGTCTGACTACTGTGGTGAGTTGTAGTGGGGGTCTGACTCTACTGTGGTGAGTTGTAGTGGGGGTCTGGTCTGACTACTGTGGTGAGTTGTAGTGGGGGTCTGACTACTGTGGTGAGTTGTAGTGGGGGTCTGACTCTACTGTGGTGAGTTGTAGTGGGGGTCTGACTCTACTGTGGTGAGTTGTAGTGGGGGTCTGGTCTGACTCTACTGTGGTGAGTTGTAGTGGGGGTCTGGTCTGACTCTACTGTGGTGAGTTGTAGTGGGGGTCTGACTCTACTGTGGTGAGTTGTAGTGGGGGTCTGGTCTGACTCTACTGTGGTGAGTTGTAGTGGGGGTCTGGTCTGACTACTGTGGTGAGTTGTAGTGGGGGTCTGGTCTGACTCTACTGTGGTGAGTTGTAGTGGGGGTCTGACTACTGTGGTGAGTTGTAGTGGGGGTCTGACTCTACTGTGGTGAGTTGTAGTGGGGGTCTGGTCTGACTCTACTGTGGTGAGTTGTAGTGGGGGTCTGGTCTGACTCTACTGTGGTGAGTTGTAGTGGGGGTCTGACTCTACTGTGGTGAGTTGTAGTGGGGGTCTGACTCTACTGTGGTGAGTTGTAGTGGGGGTCTGGTCTGACTCTACTGTGGTGAGTTGTAGTGGGGGTCTGACTCTACTGTGGTGAGTTGTAGTGGGGGGTCTGGTCTGACTCTACTGTGGTGAGTTGTAGTGGGGGTCTGGTCTGACTCTACTGTGGTGAGTTGTAGTGGGGGGTCTGACTCTACTGTGGTGAGTTGTAGTGGGGGTCTGGTCTGACTCTACTGTGGTGAGTTGTAGTGGGGGTCTGGTCTGACTCTACTGTGGTGAGTTGTAGTGGGGGTCTGACTACTGTGGTGAGTTGTAGTGGGGGTCTGGTCTGACTCTACTGTGGTGAGTTGTAGTGGGGGTCTGGTCTGACTACTGTGGTGAGTTGTAGTGGGGGTCTGACTACTGTGGTGAGTTGTAGTGGGGGGTCTGACTCTACTGTGGTGAGTTGTAGTGGGGGTCTGGTCTGACTACTGTGGTGAGTTGTAGTGGGGGTCTGACTACTGTGGTGAGTTGTAGTGGGGGTCTGACTCTACTGTGGTGAGTTGTAGTGGGGGTCTGACTCTACTGTGGTGAGTTGTAGTGGGGGTCTGGTCTGACTCTACTGTGGTGAGTTGTAGTGGGGGTCTGGTCTGACTCTACTGTGGTGAGTTGTAGTGGGGGTCTGGTCTGACTCTACTGTGGTGAGTTGTAGTGGGGGTCTGACTCTACTGTGGTGAGTTGTAGTGGGGGTCTGGTCTAACTACTGTGGTGAGTGGTAGTGGGGGTCTGACTCTACTGTGGTGAGTTGTAGTGGGGGTCTGACTACTGTGGTGAGTTGTAGTGGGGGTCTGACTCTACTGTGGTGAGTTGTAGTGGGGGTCTGGTCTGACTCTACTGTGGTGAGTTGTAGTGGGGGTCTGGTCTGACTCTACTGTGGTGAGTTGTAGTGGGGGTCTGACTCTACTGTGGTGAGTTGTAGTGGGGGTCTGGTCTGACTCTACTGTGGTGAGTTGTAGTGGGGGTCTGGTCTGACTCTACTGTGGTGAGTTGTAGTGGGGGTCTGGTCTGACTCTACTGTGGTGAGTTGTAGTGGGGGTCTGACTCTACTGTGGTGAGTTGTAGTGGGGGTCTGGTCTGACTCTACTGTGGTGAGTTGTAGTGGGGGTCTGGTCTGACTCTACTGTGGTGAGTTGTAGTGGAGGTCTGGTCTGACTCTACTGTGGTGAGTTGTAGTGGGGGTCTGGTCTGACTACTGTGGTGAGTTGTAGTGGGGGTCTGACTCTACTGTGGTGAGTTGTAGTGGGGGTCTGGTCTGACTCTACTGTGGTGAGTTGTAGTGGGGGTCTGACTACTGTGGTGAGTTGTAGTGGGGGTCTGGTCTGACTACTGTGGTGAGTTGTAGTGGGGGTCTGGTCTGACTCTACTGTGGTGAGTTGTAGTGGGGGTCTGGTCTGACTCTACTGTGGTGAGTTGTAGTGGGGGTCTGACTCTACTGTGGTGAGTTGTAGTGGGAGTCTGGTCTGACTCTACTGTGGTGAGTTGTAGTGGGGGTCTGGTCTGACTCTACTGTGGTGAGTTGTAGTGGGAGTCTGGTCTGACTCTACTGTGGTGAGTTGTAGTGGGGGTCTGGTCTGACTCTACTGTGGTGAGTTGTAGTGGGGGTCTGGTCTGACTCTACTGTGGTGAGTTGTAGTGGGGGTCTGACTACTGTGGTGAGTTGTAGTGGGGGTCTGGTCTGACTCTACTGTGGTGAGTTGTAGTGGGGGTCTGGTCTGACTACTGTGGTGAGTTGTAGTGGGGGTCTGACTACTGTGGTGAGTTGTAGTGGGGGTCTGACTCTACTGTGGTGAGTTGTAGTGGGGGTCTGGTCTGACTACTGTGGTGAGTTGTAGTGGGGGTCTGACTACTGTGGTGAGTTGTAGTGGGGGTCTGACTCTACTGTGGTGAGTTGTAGTGGGGGTCTGACTCTACTGTGGTGAGTTGTAGTGGGGGTCTGGTCTGACTCTACTGTGGTGAGTTGTAGTGGGGGTCTGGTCTGACTCTACTGTGGTGAGTTGTAGTGGGGGTCTGGTCTGACTCTACTGTGGTGAGTTGTAGTGGGGGTCTGACTCTACTGTGGTGAGTTGTAGTGGGGGTCTGGTCTAACTACTGTGGTGAGTGGTAGTGGGGGTCTGACTCTACTGTGGTGAGTTGTAGTGGGGGTCTGACTACTGTGGTGAGTTGTAGTGGGGGTCTGACTCTACTGTGGTGAGTTGTAGTGGGGGTCTGGTCTGACTCTACTGTGGTGAGTTGTAGTGGGGGTCTGACTCTACTGTGGTGAGTTGTAGTGGGGGTCTGGTCTAACTACTGTGGTGAGTGGTAGTGGGGGTCTGACTCTACTGTGGTGAGTTATCTATATCCACAGTAAAACGAGTCCTATATTGACATAACCTGAAAGGCCGCTCAGCAAGGAAGAAGCCATTGCTCCAAAATCGGCATAAAAAAAGCCAGACTACGGTTTGCAACTGCACATTGGGACAAAGATCGTACTTCTTGGAGAAATGTCCTCTGGTCTGATGAAACAAAAATAGAACTGTTTGGCCATAATGACCATCGTTATGTTTAGAGGAAAAAGGGGGGACTTGCTCTGACTCTACTGTGGTGAGTTGTAGTGGGGGTCTGGTCTGACTACTGTGGTGAGTTGTAGTGGGGGTCTGACTCTACTGTGGTGAGTTGTAGTGGGGGTCTGAAATTTGAGCAAGCCACTCAGCCCCTTAAAGGGCGATTCCACGGCAGCGGGAGCAGAAAATATTTTTTGTATCTCCGATTGTTCTGGAAATTCTCACATAAAGTACTAGTCAAAAGTTTGGACACACCTACTCTTTCCAGGGTTTTTCTTTATTTTTTTTTTTACTATTTTCTACATTGTAGAATAATAGTGAAGACATCAAAACTATGAAATAACACATATGGAATCATGTAGTATCCAAAAAAAGTGTTCTGACTGGTACTGTAATAACTTAATTGTGAGGAAGGATGTGTGAAATACTTGTTACATTTGTATCACCATTTTTTTTTTTTGAAAATCATGATGAAAGTGGACATTTTAGGCCCTTTTTAGACAAATACATGCCTCCTGTAAGACCCTATGATCTGTGAACAGTCTATGATACAGATTACATCTTGATGTCATTATACTCCTTATAGGGTGCTCTAAAACTATAGAGTATGTCTAGATTCTGAAATACACATTTTTACTTTTACTTATTCAACATATTAATATTAATCTCCCTTTTTGCTTATTTTTTTGACATATTGTTTGTAAAAATATACTCTTCAAATTTCCAGAGTGGGCTTTCTGGTACATTTAATGATATGACCCATTTCATACATAGAAATTGACATTATAGTTCGTTATAGACATTAACCAATCACAGCCCTCCTTTTAGATTGCACATTTAGCAAGTCACCAGCAGAGGGAGTTCCCTTTGAATCCATTTTCCCATTCACTGTGTTGGCGGTGCTCATAAAAATTGAACATACCTTCAGAATTAGCATAGAGCCCACTCTGGAAATATGTGTTCAAATGAACTGAATCAAAAAGGGTCGTTTTGAGATATTAATATTTTTTTATATAAATTAGTACATTTTATTGTGAAATTCTTTGTTTTATTATCTAGACATGACTCCAAGGTGTAGTCTGTATCATGTACGGTTCACAGATCATAGGGTCTTACAGGGGGCATGTACAGGTCTAAAAAGGGCCTAAAATGTCCACTTTCATCATGATTCTCTCCACAATGGTTTGTAACAAACGTATAAAGCATTTCAAACATCCCTTCCTCCCAATGAAGTTCCTATGTGAGAATTGCCAGAACAATCTGAGATACAACTAAATATTTTCCATTCCCCCGCTTGGTGTGGGATCGCCCTATGCAGCTCCAGGGGAGTCATACTATGTCCCCCCCCCCCTCTCCAGGTGTGAGGGGTAACCTGCAGGAGACTGAAGGTTATATCTGGGTTAACCTGGCCATGACGGCGGCTACGGCACTGCTGTCTGTCTACTTCCTGGTATGGCAGCTGTACGTGATGCATGCTGACGTCATCATCAACTCCATTCTGCTCAGTGTCTACGGACTGGGAGGGGTCTTTGGGCTGGTCACCCTGGCCAGATTCACCAGGTTAGTGATCTAGTAGCCGTGTGCATTCGGAAAAGTATTCAGACCCCTTGACCTTTTTCCCACATTTTGTTTACGTCACAGCCTTATTCTAAAATGGATTAAATAAAAACATGACCTCATCAATCTACACACACAATACCCCATAATGAAAAAGCAAAAACTGGTTTTTAGAAATGTTTGCAAATGTATAATTGATTACTGAGTAAAGGGTCTGAATACTTATGTAAATGTGATATTTCAGTTAATTATTTTTTTTTAAATACATTTGCAAAAATGTGTCATTATTATTGTGTGCAGAGCAAAAAAAGTAGATTGTAGAAATAAAACGATTTAATCTATTTTAGAATTAAACCTGTAACGTAATAAAATGTGGAAAAAGTCAAGGGGTCTGAATACTTTCTGAATGCACTGTAGCTATCTATTGATATGAGTCATATTTATTCAATTAATGTTGCTTTTGTTATTAATAATTTAAAGGGATACTTCAGGATTTAAAGGGATACTTCAGGATTTAAAGGGATACTTCAGGATTTAAAGGGATACTTCGGGATTTAAAGGGATACTTCGGGATTTAAAGGGATACTTCGGGATTTAAAGGGATACTTCAGGATTTAAAGGGATACTTCAGGATTCAAAGGGATACTTCGGGATTCAAAGGGATACTTCGGGATTTAAAGGGATACTTCGGGATTTAAAGGGATACTTCGGGATTTAAAGGGATACTTCGGGATTTAAAGGGATACTTCGGGATTTTGCCAATGAGGACCTTTATCTACTTCCCCAGAGTCAGATGATACCATTTTTAGGTCTCTGCGTGCGGTTTGAAGGAAGTTGCTAACTAGAACTAGCGCAATTGCTAACTAGCATTAGGGCAATGACTGTGATCCTATGGGTATCTACTAGCAGCAGATACCCAATGACTCTTTAAGTCTATGGGTATCTGCTAGCATGCTAGCAGATATTCATATACTTCCAGTCATTGCGCCAACGCTAGTTAGCATTAGCTTTTTTGAAACGACCTCTAACTTCCTTCATACTGGATACAGAGACATAAAGATGGTATCCATGAGTTCATCTGACTCTGGGGAAATACCCCAAATCTCGAAGTATCCCTTTAATGATTTGTTGACATTGACCTTGGCCTATTTTTAAGTAGGCTAATAGGCCACTCCCACCAGTCACCAGTTTTTTGTTTTTAATGGTATTGTGTTGTGAATGGCCTGCCTGCACGGAGCTGGTAATGGTGTTGTGTTGTGAATGGCCTGCCTGCACTGAGCTGGTAATGGTGTTGTGGTGTGTTGTGAATGGCCTGCCTGCACTGAGCTGGTAATGGTGTTGTGGTGTGTTGTGAATGGCCTGCCTGCACTGAGCTGGTAATGGTGTTGTGTTGTGTTGTGAATGGCCTGCCTGCACTGAGCTGGTAATGGTGTTGTGGTGTGTTGTGAATGGCCTGCCTGCACTGAGCTGGTAATGGTGTTGTGGTGTGAATGGCCTGCCTGCACTGAGCTGGTAATGGTGTTGTGTTGTGAATGGCCTGCCTGCACTGAGCTGCGCTCCCTTTTGTCTGCTCTATTGTCCATGAATGAAATAAGCTCCTGCGGTTCTTCAGGGCCTTTTGTGAATTATTGATCCAGGTTTCATTCATCCAAACGTTACTGTATACCGCGTTCTAATGCTATGACGTCAGGGCCAGCCCTCACATTGTCCTCCAAAGACAGAATAGATGGTGAGTGACCACTGAAGAGATTGGTAATGGGTTAGTCCAAGTCTGAACTTTCCACGCTGAACAAGGCGTTGAAGTAGGTTTCACTTCCAATGACTGTGATATGTCGTATATTTTTTTTTAACCTACTTTAGTTGGATACACTGATTGTAAGTCACTCTGGATAATTCTGCTAAAATGTAGCCTAATGTGTCTGTGTTCACTTCTGTCTTTCAGTGTCTACTCCTGAGAACGCCGTGCTGTCCCCATTCGTTATAGCTGCACTGACAGCACTCCTTCACTACCAAACCTTAATGGAAGGTAAACCCTCTGCTGCGCTGTTGGAGATGTCTGAGCATCAGTGTAGGTGTTTGGCTGTTCAGAATGCTAGTGGAATTGGGAGTCTGATGTCCTGAGCGCTCTGGAGCAGGTTTTCATCAAGGATCTCTCTGTACTTTGCTCCGTTCATCTTTCCCTCGATCCTGACTAGTCTCCCAGTCCCTGCCGTTGAAAAACATCCCCACAGCATGATGCTGCCACCACAATGCTTCACCGTAGGGATGGTGCCAGGTTTCCTCCAGATGTGACGCTTGGCATTCAGGCCAAAGAGTTCAATCTTGGTTTCATCAGACCAGAGAATCTTGTTTCTCATGGTCTGAGAGTCTTTAGGTGCCTTTTGGCAAACTCCAAGCGGGCTGTCATGTACCTTTTACTGAGGAGTGGCTTCCGTCTGGCCACTCTACCATAAAGGCATGATTGGTGGAGTGCTGCAGAGATAGTTGTCCTTCTGGAAGGTTCTTCCATCTCCACAGAGGAACTCTGGAGCTCTGTATGAGTGATCATAAGGTTCTTGGTCACCTCCCTGACCAAGGCCCTTCTCCCCCGATTGCTCAGTTTGGCCGGGCTGCCATCTCTAGGAAGAGTCTTGGTGGTTCCAAACTTCTTCCATTTAAGAATGATGGAGGCCACTGTGTTTTTGGGGACCTTCAATGCTGCAGAAATGTTTTGGTACCCTTCCCCAGATCTGTGCCTCGACACAATCCTGTCAAATCAAATCAAATCAAATGTTATTTGTCACATACACGTGTTTAGCAGATGTTATAACGGGTGTAGCGAAATGCTTGTGCTTCTCGCTCCGACAGTGCAGTAATATCTAACAATTTCACAACTTATACCCAATACACACAAAACTAGTAAGGAATGGGATTTAAGAATATATACATATATGGACAAGCAATGACAGAGCGGCATGGACTAAGATACAGTAGAATATTATAGAATAGAATACAGTATATACATATGAGATGAGTAGTGCAAGATATGTAAACATTATTAAAGCCCTCTGTAGAGCCCTGCGGTTGCAGGCGGTGCAGTTGCCGTACCAGGCGGTGATACAGCCCGACAGGATGCTCTCAATTGTGCATCTGTAAAAGTTTATGTTGGTTTTAGGTGCTAAGCCGAATTTCTTCAGCCTCCTGAGGTTGAAGAGGCGCTGTTGCGCCTTCTTCACCACACTGTCTGCGTGGGTGGACCATTTCAGTTTGTCGGTGATGTGTACGCTGAGGAACTTGAAGCTTTCCCACCTTCTCCACTGTGGTCCCGTCGATGTGGATAGGGGGGTGCACCCTCTGCTGTTTCCTGAAGTCCACGATCATCTCCTTTGTTTTGTTGACGTTGAGTGAGAGGTTATTTTCCTGGCACCACACTCCCAGAGCCCTCACCTCCTCCCTGTAGGCTGTCTCGTCATTGTTGGTAATCAAGCCTACTACTGTTGTGTCGTCTGCAAACTTGATGATTGAGTTGGAGGCGTGCGTGGCCACGCAGTCATGGGTGAACAGGGAGTACAGGAGGGGGCTGAGCACGCACCCTTGTGGGGCCCCAGTGTTGAGGATCAGCGAAGTGGAGATGTTGTTTCCTACCTTCACCACCTGGGGGTGGCCCGTCAGGAAGTCCAGGACCCAGTTGCACAGGGCGGGGTTCAGACCCAGGGCCCCGAGCTTAATCATGAGCTTGGAGGGTACTATGGTGTTGAATGCTGAGCTGTAGTCAATGAACAGCATTCTTACATAGGTATTCCTCTTGTCCAGGTGGGATAGGGCAGTGTGCAGTGCGATGGCGATTGCATCGTCTGTGGATCTATTGGGGCGGTAAGCAAATTGAAGTGGGTCTAGGGTTGCAGGTAAGGTAGAGGTGATATGATCCTTGACTAGCCTCTTAAAGCACTTCATGATGACAGAAGTGTGTGCTACAGGGTGATAGTCATTTAGTTCAGTTACCTTTGCTTTCTTGGGTACAGGAACAATGGTGGCCATCTTGAAGCATGTGGGAACAGCAGACTGGGAAAGGGAGAGATTGATGTCCATAAACACACCAGCCAGCTGGTCTGCGCATGCTCTGAGGACGCGGCTAGGGATGCCGTCTGGGCTGGCAGCCTTGCGAGGGTTAACACGCTTAAATGTCTTACTCACGTCAGCCATGGAGAAGGAGAGGCCACAGTCCTTGGTAGTGGGCCTCGTCAGTGGCACTGTGTTATCCTCAAAGCGGGCGAAGAAGGTGTTTAGCTTGTCTGGAAGCGAGACGTCGGTGTCGGCGACGTGGCTGGTTTTCTTTTTGTAGTCCGTGATTGTCTGTAGACCCTGCCACATACGTCTCGTGTCTGAGCCGTTGAATTGCGAATCCGTTGAATTGTCTCGGAGCTCTACAGACAATTCCTTCGACCTCATGGCTTGGTTTTTGCTCTGACATGCACTGTCAACTATGGGACCTTATATAGACAGGTGTGTGCCTTTCCAAATCATGTCCAATCAATTGAATTTACCGCAGGTGGACTCCAATCAACTTGTAGAAACATCTCAAGGATGATCAATGGAAACAGGATGCACCTGAGCTCAATTTTCAAGTCTCATAGCAAAGGGTCTGAATACTTATGCGAATAAGGTATTTCTGTTTTTTATTTGTAATAAATTTGCAAAAATATCTAAACCTGTTTTCGTTTTGTCATTATGGGGTATTGTGTGTAGATTGATGAGGAAAAATGTGTTTTAATCCATTTTTTGAATAAGGCTGTAACATAACAAAATGTGGAAAAAGTCAAGGGGTCTGAATACTTACCGAATGCACTGTAAATCACATATATAGGCTACATTCAAATGGACATGCAAATAACATCTTATAGAAGATGGAACTCCAGTGTTCCCCTTCAGCGGTACGTTTGCAATCATTCAGCCGATCCTAAATCACTCCCAACCCCTTCCCCTTGGCCC